TTGATGGATGAACCACTCTGTCGATAAAGAATTGGCTGGATGGCTGCACACAGAGCATTGTGGTCAATGGCTCAATGTCCAGCTGAAGACTGGTAATGACTGGTGTCCTTTAGGAGTAGCTGTTGGGACTGATGTTCAACATCTTTGTCGGTGACATGGACAGTGGGATTGAATGTGCCCTCAGCAAGTTTGCCGATGACACCAAGCTGTGTGGTTCGGTTGATACGCTGGAGGGAAGGAATGCCATCCAGAGGGACCTTGACACTCTTGTGAGGTGGCCAATGCCAACCTCATGAAGTTTAACCATGCCAAGTGCAAGGTCCTACACCTGGGTCGGAGCAATCCCAGGCACAGCTACAGGTTGGGCAGTGAAGAGATTCAGAGCAGCCCTGTGGAGAAAGACTTGGGGGTGTTGGTCGATGAGAAAATGAACATGAGCCGGCTTCAGTGTGTGCTCACAGCCCAGAAAGCCAACTGTATCCTGGGCTGCATCAAAAGGAGCATGACCAGCAGGTCAAAGGAGGTGATCCTGCCCCTTTACTCTGCTCTTGTGAGACCCCACTTGGAGTATACAGCACATTACTATATGGTAAATCTGGGAAGCTATAGCTTTGTTGTTAATCATATTGCTATGGCAATTGAGTAAGATTAAATCTTGGCTGGTATTAAAAATTACATTGCTGAGAAACTTGGAGAAACATGGCCAGAAACATGGAGAGAGAGGCAGGAAAAAGATCGTTTTTTAGAGATCAGGTTTGATGTCAGCATGTGGATATAAAGGTGATCATGGAAGGCTTTATGTCAGTGTCTGTATAGATGAAAGTATAAAACTGAACCAGACTTGTACTACGAAGCTGGAACTGGTCTTTTACAACCAAATTCCTACATTTCTAGAACACAGGGTACAACATACAGAATATTCTGTGGCAAATGTAAGCTAAATTTTAATTTGTGGGTGTTATCACAGAAGATCAAACATCAAAGATTGTTACAGTTTTAGATTTCAGTGTATGGATAATATAAAGAAATTAGCTTGCTGAAGTCTATGTATTTGCAGTACTGTAGTTCTGTCTGTATGCAAAGGTTCTCCTGACCAAACTCTCCAGAAACTCTTGTCACTATTTGTTATGAAGGGATGAAGAGCATGAAAGGTAACAGTAAACCAAATGCCTGTCAGGTTAGGAAATGATATACTTGTTCAAAGCTGTCGCTTTGTCAGAGTTATGTATTGTCTAACTGACTTCTTCAAAGGCTACTGGGCAACTGGTTTGCAATCACTGTTAGATAAGGCACTCTATCATTTGTTGACATGTCCCTTTATTTCACCTGCAAAATTTATTCAGGCTTATTCTGCATATGGTTTACAGATTGTCTATGCACACAAGGTATACTGAGTGTGCTCAGGAATTATCTGGCTTACAACAATGGATACTACAAGGTATATATGAATGTACTTTGCCTGAGAAATTTCAGAAGAAACATAATGATTCTGTTCTCAAATATTCTGAGTACCTTATTTTCCAGAATTTGAAATGTTTTTCCTGCTCATAAGAAAGTCATTCAAACACAACAGGAAATAAAGGAAAGAAAAATCTTGTTCACTCCAGAGAGTAGGAAAGAACTTATTAAGAAATTTATATTTTCTGTATTCTTATATTCTTTCCTCTGCTGAATTACCAGTGCTATGCTAAAGTAATAAAAAGAAGTCCATTTGGATTGTGTTAAGCAATTTGTAGTTATTCAATTAATATTTAATAAATCACTTGATAGAAAACAGAAGGATATCAGTTGATTAACTGGCCTGGTATCAATTTTTATCCATACACTATGCAGATAAGTGAGAATAAATTCATCAACCATAATAAAGGATATACAAACCTTTCCGTTAACCACTGTCATATGGGAGATGGAAGTGATTTGGGGTGAATACAGTATGTATTTCAAATTGACTTTTAAACATTTAGAAGACTTCTATTTGCAATTCTGAAGACTTATAATTATGGAAATGTGTGAAGAAAAGGAAAAAGTATCTGGAATATCATCCTTTAATCTGCTAAGTAGAGGATAAAAAGTATTTAACCTTCATAAATTTTCCTGAAACATTTTGTTAAGTACAGCCTACTTAGATTTAGATACAAATATATATCTGGCTTAGCTCTATGTATGTTTGACAGACCTGAGAATATTCTAGGATTAACTATAGAAGAAAAAAAAAGTGAAGTTCCTTTCTAAAGTTAAAAATATGGGTGTTATTAGAAAAGCCCACAGCATTTTTTGGTTTTAAACTCAGTATGTAAACACAGTAGCTGAATCAAATGTTTTTGCAGTGTAATTAATGGCTATGAAGTGGCTTGCTTCTGCAGGCAAATCCTACAGGCTTACCTCCTTGTTCTACATGCCAGCTGGGGACACTCAGATGAACTAAAAGGTAATCCTAACAGAGCAAAATGGGGTTTCGGAGCTCGTCTTTGTTGGCAGCTTGCTAGTTGTCCATTTTCATCCTCCTCAAAACATGAGACTGCCCTTGCTACTGTCCAGCAACTCTCTCCTACTGTGCAAGAGCTTGTTTGCCTTGCTGTGCCCTCACTGGCTACTGTGGCACAGAACATCGAGTGCCGTATACCGTAGGGGTTTAGACAATTAAGGGAATTTTCACAGAAAAAAAATGGCAGAAGGGAAAATCAGCCTCCTGGGTCTCACAAGGAGGAAGAAAGGCAGGCATAGCTGCTTAGCCTTATTTACTACTGCCCATGGGGAGAAAGAGAAGAGAGAGAGAAAGAAAGAGACAGAGGCTTTGTCCCTTCCTTTGCAAATAGGATGAATAGAGAAGAGAGGCTGACTGTCTTTCTTGAGTCTCTATCTCCCTGAAGCCCACAGAGCAAGTAGTATCCACCTACAGCTGTGGCTCCCATAATGTTTGACTAGTGGCTTAGTATGAGATCTGTTTCCCAAACTACAGTGACACTTACAGGGATCAGTTTGGGGATCAGCAAGGTCAGTGGTGTGGCTAGTAGTTTTTTCTCCTTTCCAAAAGTCCACAATGTGGGACTGAACATTAAGAAATAATGTCAGAGTGTACAAACTGAGTTCATAACTGTTCAGTAGTTCAGAGGCTGAAAAGTCCATTCCTAGAACTAGGCAGAATCATGAAATGGGAAGCTGGGGGATGTCTGCAGGATGCTTTCTGTGTGGAGGAAGATAATTTTTTTAATCCTTGTTGGTTGAATTACACTTTATTATACCCTTTTTTTTTCCCCTAATGGAGAGAGAACAGGATGCTTCCATTTCCTTTCAGAATTACAAGGAAGCAAAGGACTGAGATTTTAGATAACTGTTTCTGGCATAAATCTACACTCTGCATGGGTGAAAACTGTGGGTTTGTAGGAGATGAGCTCCTTTAATTATTTTTTTTTACAGTGAGAAATCTGCCACTTTGATTTTTCAGAAGTCATTCCTCTGATTGTGAGTGATGATTCTATACACCTGAATGAAATATGTTCCTTCAATTTTTCTGAGAAATAAAGGAAATTTGGATTATAGTGTCTGTAAGCACTTTGAACTCTCCTTTTTTTTCTTTTTTTTTTTGTATACTATATTCCACTACTGAATATATATGTGTGATTACCCTGGAATTAATGATCTAGAGAATTGGGGGTTTATTACTTAATATATTTTAGTGACCTTCTTTTTCATTTCCCAGCAATGTTTTCCTTTCTTCTCCTCTTATTTCTTATCTAATTTCTTATTCTCCTTACTGACTTTTCCTTAGAAGAAATTTTAACCCTATCTATATTTGCTTCCCTTCCTGCTCCTTTCCCAGTATTCCATTCTTCCATCTACTTTTTTATTCTTCATTTTCATCTATGCATTTTTATACAGCTAATCTTCCAGTCTTGCTATTTTTTCCTTCTCTCATTCTCCACTTTCTCCTCATATTCTTTCTACATTCATTTACAGTCTGTTTCCATTTTTTGCTCTATTTTCCTCATCTTTTTCAGCTTCTTTCCTTAAGACCTGGTTTTGTTTGTCATCTTTTGCTTTATTTAATATGTTTTCCCCCAACCATCTCTTGCATTCTTTCTTCTCTGTCATTCCATATCTCTAGCTAATTTAAACGAGTACTGACCTGCATTAACCCTTAAGCCTCCTGAAAGGCTGACTGATCATTCCGCAAGGACCCCAGCAATGGGTGGAGACTGAAAATATCTCTCTACATTCAGGCACGAAGGACATATGCACCATTGTGCATCTAAATATACATTTCATCTGTATGTTTCATGTAATCAGAAAATTATTCAGTAGCATAAACTCGTTGAGTTTATTTTCTCAGTTCAATATATGAATAAATATGTATATTGGAGTGCTTTCAGATTTATCCAGCTACCGCTATTGAATAAAGAACTAAACATAGAGTAACAGGTAAATTGAAATTAAAATAGGCAATTGTTCTTCCAATTATCTAGAATAACCACCTGTGCAGACTTACTTGGACCCACTACTTTACTTCTTCATGATACTCAAAGTTTATTTTTATTCATTTTTTTTTTTTTAAATTCTGATTCTGCTTGTTTTCTGACCTGCTGGACTCAGTGGAAGTTTCTGCATTAGCTCTGATGAATTGAGCTGTTTATAGTTATCAATATAATCCTGATTGATTCCTGAGGAGTGTGAGGTGATTTTAAAATAATTAGAGTTCTGAGGAAAGAATGTATCTGAGTGCTCTGAAGTATCATGCTTTTATTTATTTGGAGTAAAAAAAACATTTTAGTCCCAGAGTTGAGAAACAACTAGCATAAGAGCTATACAAATGCATCTTACAAAGGTCAAATCACCAACAAAACTGCTAATTTTTTCTTCTTTGCATAATTTTCCACACTGTGTATATGAACATTCCAACATAGCATAAATGAAACCACTTAAAAACCAAGAAGTTTTATCTTCCTTGGTGATTTCAACAAGTTTGATTTTTTTCTTTTTTTTTTGTGTCTGCTTTCTCTTAGTATTTTCCTATGCAGAAGAATAAATGGTAATTAAAATGTGCAGGATGAAAAGATGGAGCAGTCAGTGCTTGTACCACCAGGACCAGACAGCTTCCAGTACTTCACTAGAGAGTCTCTTGCAGCTATTGAACAACGCATCGCTGCAGAAAAAGCTAAGAATCCTAAACAAGATCGTAAAGACGATGATGAAAATGGGCCGAAGCCAAACAGTGATTTGGAGGCAGGAAAAACACTTCCATTTATATATGGTGACATACCTCCAGGAATGGTGTCTGAGCCCTTGGAAGACATGGACCCATATTACATCAATAAAAAAGTGAGTCTGGTATCGATCCTGTTCAAATGCCAGTGTTTAGAGTGCTTTATCATGTTCATTTCATTTTTGTGGAGTGGATCATATAACTTGTTACTTCAGTCTGTTAATTTACAATCATGTAGTAAAATGTCATTCTAATAATGTGGAAATAGTTGAGCATTGCTAACAGACTAGATGTATAACAAGAGCAGAAAATGTTTAATGCCAGCAATGCATACACATTCTGCTTTCCAGAAAGCATCCTTTTCATATACATAAAATTTTATTTCTTTGATATAATTGAATTTTTATCAACACTGTGTTGATAAAATGAACATTCCGACATAGCATAAATGAAAGCACTTAAAAATAAATGGGTTATTTTATTATTTTTATGTTTGCTTTTATTTACCAAAGCACATTTTCTTCCTGGAAATCTGGTTCGATAGCAAATTCCTAAGAAATCTATGGAATCAATAGAGAAACACACAGATAAGCAGAAAAATGTCATAAAGAGAGTGTAAAACTGATTTAAAAAATTCTGGTGGAACTGGTCTTGAAAAGCCCTGGAATCCTTTCAGGATGATTCTGTCACACAGCCCATATACAGTGGAAAAAGCTCATGGTTTATAGTGATAACTAGCTTGGGTGATACTTTAATTATTAGATACTATGGTTATAAAAACTTTATCAATATCAAGACAGGAGTTATTTTAATTATCGCAAAGTGCTATGTTCTAAGTGTCTTACCTTGCTAAATTTAATGTGATTTATGAATCTTCTTTTGAAAAGAGAGAAAATACTATGTAAAACAACAATATTTTTATCTTTCTTATTTGATGCCTCTGAGAGAACCTTTATCTGCCATTCATGGGGTATGAAGATTCATCTTTAAATCCTAGTTCTACTTTTACAAAGATAAAAGATGTGTTTCTGTAAAAGCAGGCCTTGTATAGTTCTGTACTGATTGTGTCTGTTTGTGATAGAAGATCACCTATAAGTATATCCCTACCTGCCCTCAGCTCATCCTGGATCTTTACAGTCAAATCAGTCTGTCTTGTGTGTCTTACAGTGAAACCAGTTATATGATAAGTATGATTACAGGTAAGTTTCTAGAGCCCTTAGAAATGGAAGACTTTTTCAGCCTCTTCACAGATGGAGCTGAAAACACTACATCAGCCAGGTATGATGATAGAAAGAAACAGAGTGAAACCCGCTGAACATATTCAGGCAAACTCCTGCACATTTGAAAGGAAAAATCTTTTCATTTGCACACTAAATAACTTTCATGGGCACATCGCATACCCGCTGGTATTCTCTTCTTTGTGCTGAAGTCCACAAATATTCGCTACTCATGTACTTTAATGTTCTACAGGACAGAAATAGAAACAGCTCTGTCAGTCAAATGCAAGAAAAAATTTCTCACACGCCACAATTCTCCCCAGTTTTTTCTTCCTTCAGTATAAGGAAAATAGACTTTCCTAACAGAAATTCAATATCTATTTCAATTTTATAGTCAAAATGACTTAAAAATATCTAATTCCTAGATTTTTTTTATCTAGCTGTGTGTGAACTCTGGAAAGGCTTTTATCTTGGTTTACTTGTCTTTTGAGAGTACTGGTAGTAGCTGATGCTTTTGCAAGTCTCAGAAGGAGAAATAGTTTGAGAAAAGCCTGAAGAAAAAGTGAACATCTCTGAAAGAAGTGAAGGACTCTTAATGCTCAATGCATTTACCTCTGTACCATTTAGCTTTCTCTTTATCTCTCTCCAAGTTCTACCTTGTAAAGCAAACAAGGCAATCAGCACACCCTCTCACAAGGTAGTGGCCTGACAACTGCTGCATGATGGTTAGAGATTTTAAATTTTTGCATGGGGAAGCATCTATTTGAAATTATATGGATCTAACAGAAATGCTAGAATGAAGGAAAATACTTATTTTCAAGAAAGGGTTAGGACAACTGTATGGAGTAGTAGATGCTACTGTTACTTCAGAACTCTATTTAGATATCTGCATAAACTAATTTATGAACAGAATTGTATCAGTTTGGCTTCCAACCTTTCAAATAGGAAATAGAAACGGTTACTCGCAGCACTGATCACATTATTCTAATGAACATGGTCACATGATTTATTCAGGAAACCTGTGCAAGCATTTTAGGAATATCTTTTCTATTCCAAATTTGGGTCATAAGTGAAATCATCCATTATTTACCTCATATGCACGTGTTGCAGCCCATTGAGGTTTTTTTGTTGTTTTTCTTTTTCCTATTTTTATAGCAATGTTGAACAAATTCACTGTATTTTTGCATTCATTGAATGCTGAAACATCATCTAGAGTGGTTTACATTTCATCTTTGGGCCTCTTTCTCTAAGCAATTGTGCATGTGGGTGCCATGATCTAATGCAGTTTAATACAGAATAAGACAGGAATAAATAAATGTGTTGAGCTAGTGAGAGCCTTAATTTGTGGATAAAGTAGCCCAGAGATGAAAAGTTGAAAATGGGAAAACCTCTTAAGAGAAACAGAAACATATGTGCTAGTTTTATGGTTTTGTAACTGTGCTTCTATGCAAAACCTACAACTACAGAGGACACATTCAAGCCCAATATTAATCTGAAGATGAAAGGAAAAGAAAAATATTGACAACCACTGTTTGACAATGGAGCAACCCATTGTACTAAATTTACACATGTGTTAGCATTATTGATTTACTCTGTATCACAGATAGCCTTAATGCCAGCAACGGTACCCTTGAAACATAATTATTTTATTATAATATAATACAATACAACAAAATACAATACCTGACCTTATATTCTTATGATTTTATTATAGTGAAATGCTGTCTGTGGTTGTCAATAATGCTGGTCTTTAGAACTGCAAAGCTTAGCATCCTAAATGGTTGCAATGCTCTTTTAAAATCAAAAATTGAGTAAAAAATGAACTTGGACCTTAACAAATTTTTCATGTACCACTTCTGTTTAAGTGCAAATCAGTGTGCTTCCAGTATAAAAGTGACTGCCTGTTTGTGCTCAAGCTGCTGTTACAAAGGATCAAGGAGGTTTACATCACTATCTATAGAGAAATGATCAGCTGGACCCCCTTAAGACCCTAACCTGCAGGCATGCATAAAAATCTGGTCCAGTTGGTTTCATACTTTGAGGGCTATTTTCTCTTGAACCTCGGCTGCTACATTAAAGAGGAGAGAAAGAATAGGAGGAACTAAATGGGTCTTGCTTCACATGATGCAATATAGATATAGCATTGTTGATTGCCATTCCATGCCCTGCCTCTTGCCAGGATGATGTTGAATGATGTCTGTCAAAAAAGGTACATTCTTTCGTCTGTCTCTCTAATCTGATCAAACCACTAGCTCCTGGGATTCCTAGATTTTTGGGTTGCAGAAAATGAAAAGATTCTTGAAAACTGTTTAACTTTATTGCATCAGAACAGGTGAATGCACTAGTGATTTTAGATATTTTGTATCATTGTAAGTGAAAGAATTTTTAGGTGAAAAGTTTTAGCCATCCAGGAAATTAAGTTTTGCTAGAAAAACAGGTCTGTTTCTAAAGACAACTGCAAAACCAAGAAATGCCAGCTTCCAATATGCCATGAGTCTCTTGTTCTATTTACCCCTGTGCTTTTCCCAGGAAACTAATGTGTCACCTCTTACCTTTCAGAAAGTCGTTTGAGGTTTTAGTTGTTTATTTAACTGTAGGAAGCGGAAGTAGTTTCAGCCTGCTAAATGTAGCCTCCCAGAAACTACATTTGAAGCTAACTGGGAGGAAGGAGAGGAGAAACAAGGTTTTGGGAACTATTTGTCCCAAGGGTTTCTGGGAGACCGTATCTTCAACATAGACTCTTTTTTACTCCTCCTCCTTTGCCCTGCGAAGGGTAGAGTTTCTGGGTTTATATGTAATATGGCAGAAGCTACAGAACTGAATTCTGTTAGGTTACAGATGCAAAACCAGCAGATCAGGGACTTCTCATTAGGTTTTCTTTCAATTTATATTCACACTCGAATACTTCAAGTGTGAGCGGGTTTCCTGCCTTTATACAATGACTAAAGCACTTTGTAAAACATAAGCCTTGAAAAGTATATATAATCCTTCATATAAAAATACTAATCTCACAAATTGTTTAGAATTTATTTAGCTTTTTTCAGTGTACATCTAATTTGCCCTGACAGCTTTGGGTACAATATTTCATGTTCATCCACGCTGCCTACACATTGGCTTGCATCTGGGTTGAGACTGGAGTGAGATATAGCACACTTACCAGGGGAGGAAGCTTACACAGGGATTGGATGTCAGCTGTTAGCTGTATTTTTTATGAAAAATCTTCTTCAGACATAAGACACAATTTTAGCTCATGTTTAAGTCTGGAGGTCAGAGGATCAACAAAGTAATTCTGAGGGCTCCAATCACAAAGATGCTTTGAGTGAAGAATTAAAACTGAGGTAGTTAATTTATGTCTTCTTGGTTCTGCTTATGCAGGGCAGCAGAAAGTAGAGCAGCTAAAATAGCAGCAGCTTCCAACTGAAACTGGAGCTGTGCCAGCATGCTGTTATTTTCCAGAAGGCACATTAGAGAGAGATGTATGTTTAATATGCTTGTGTCTAAAGATTTTTTAAAAATGTAGGTTGACTAAATGTAGGTGGTGTAGTCTTAGGTATGAAGTTAGTAGGGAGTGTGATTTTTAATTGTCAACTATGTCATAGCTACAAAAGCCAAGAGCAGGAACTGGAGGCTTCTTAGCTGTAAGTCCTGGGACTGGGGACAGACCTGAGACGGTAAAGTCACCTTCCCCCTTGGGGTGTGAGGTTTTAAAACATTGTGCCAAAAAAAGTAATTCACCTGATTGGTTCCTTCAGTATTTAAAATGAAAGCCTTAGTCAGGTCATCTTCAGTTACACTTTGAAGGTTGTTATTGTCTGTGATCTGTGACTGGAAGTGTAATTTGGAAAAATTAGCTCAGGATTCATCCTTTTGTCTTCAGTTTCATACTTAGTTTCTCTATTTCTGTGCAGAGGCAAGGAAATCAAACATATATTTTATACCATTACTACACAGAATCATAAAGTGGTTTGGGTTTGAAGGGACCTTAAAAATACCTAATTCCAATCCTCCTTTCATGGTACATATATACTAAGCTTCCAAAATCTAAGCAGACTGAAGAATCATCCTTCTTCAACCTCTTTGCCACATTTTCTCTCTGCCAGGCTTGCCAGGGATACCTACTTGCTTACTTACACTCTTCAAGTGACACTTTATATCATGGACACCAGAAGAGACCAACATACCCTTCCTGCACTTCCACTGGCATTCTAGTTTATAGCTCACTTTCTCAGCAATGTAATGAAAAACAAGGAGGCTTCATCAAACTTATTTATGAAATATACAATTCTGACAAAACAACAAAAGCAATTTTCAACATTTCTGTTGAGCAGATTCTGCAATACCTATAACTTACTTTAATTTGGGCTATAAACCTTGCATCATCCCTTCCACTGCATGCAGCTTTCTTCTGAGGTACTGAGCCTTCCTTCTTCAGTGTTTTCCATTTCTTTCTGCTTGAACCTGACAGTCTACATTTCCCATGTTGTAGTGTTAATGCTGTTGCAGCCATGATGGCCTACAGTGGAAGCAAAGCGATGTCTGTCAGGTCCACAGATGTATTTGAGGAAAACAGACGTTTTCAGCATTTTGAGTTTTCTACAATTTGCTGAAGTAAGGCTTGCATACCTCTAAGTTTCTCTAAATTTGATAGGCTCTTTAGCTGTTAAAATTTAAATTTATCAAGTATGTATGATCTGCGAAAGTGTCACACCTTCAAACCACAGTTGTACGAGGAGGTCATCTGGGATGTATCTTGCTGTCCTCTGGTAAGGTGTATTCAGATGTCCACAGTCCTCAGAGATCTAACTAATCATGACTATGGGTGTTAATGCTATTTTCTCTCTCCTTAGCACAAAGACCAAGAAACAGACTAAAATTAAAAAAAAAAATAACAATTAGATAGTCTATTAAATCAGTTTCTGGAAGGATTTCTTTTACGAACATCTTTAACATCCACAGGTAAGGTTTCCGCACTTATGGTATTTCAAATAGGAAGACTATACTGGAGTTCTTAAATGAAGAAGTAGTATAAAAACATTAATGAATTGAAAGTTCTATATTTAAAGTTATAGTTTCATGTCAGGTACATCAGGTAAGTACTGGAAATAAACTTTACTTAAAAAATTAGTCATGGTTTTTGTGTTTTAAGTATTCAAAAAGTGTCAATTTTGGTGATTGGTCACTAGGAACAGTTTTAAAATCAGCATCTGCAGTGAATACACACTTACAAAATGTCTTTTATCTTCTTTTTTTTTTCCAGACCTTTATAGTATTGAATAAAGGGAAGGCAATCTTCCGATTCAGTGCCACCTCTGCCCTGTACATTTTAACTCCCTTCAATCCTCTTAGAAAAATAGCTATTAAAATTTTGGTACATTCATATCCTTTTTCAATGGTTGTTCAAGATGTTGCACACTGAAATTAAGAAAACTCATCTCTCTATTTCATTGTAAATAAAGGTTTTATTAGGCTGTTAATTTCATTTTTATTTTACAGTGGAAGACATGCAAAGTTTTTATAAACACTAGACAATATGTGTATATCATATATATGCATTTTAGCTATTCTGTTGAATTTCAGTATTCCTGCAGTACAAAATTGCAGATAGATTTAAGAATCTTGATTAATTTTTCAGAAAAGTTTCTTCAGAATTATTTTAACATTGATTTTTCTTTTTATGTTCCAGATTCTTTTTTGAGTTTTGCAAGCATTTAGGCATATATGCCATTGCTAATGAATAGCTAGCCCAGGGGTATGGTTATATTGTCTTTTAGGGGTTTTTCTGAGGTCAACCTCAAGACCAGCCTTATAGTCTATTGCAGCAACATGCCTAGAAGCCTGGTTCATGCATGCTGGATCTCACATTCCCAAACCTGTCCAACTGCACTATAAAATTCTGCCAAATGTAATACATTGCCAGAAAGCATAGGCAGCAGCCCTGCAAGACAGACTGGGGGACCATAACTGACAGGATGGTGCACAAGGTAAAATTTTAGGCTGGCACGTTGGATTGGTCCCTGATGTTCATAACTGGTTGATAGGAATTTCTGGCAGGCGAGGGTTTGGTGCACTTTTTTGCAAAACCTCAGGACTGGGAAAAGTAGTCGCCAAATGAAAACTTCAGTGTGACGGTAAGACTTTAAACATTGAACAGTTAGTCAAAGTCAGAAGCCTATTGTTAGAGACTGCTGGCACAACCTTCTAGGTCTTTAGAAGAAGGAAGAATCAGGGCTGATAGATGCTGACTCAGGAAGACCTTTTCCTCTGAGCTTCCTGGCAGATAAAAACAGTGAGGGAAGGGGAAAAAGGTGTCTGGGGTGAAGTAAGGGAACATTGGGGCAGTAGCTAAGGGACTTGACAGAGACCTGTAGACATTGTGTTGGTGATGGTGAGAAAACACAGCCAAAGACTGCCAGATTGAATCCTCTAATGAACACTCATGCATTCAAGTTACAGACTTTGATTTACAATAGCTTCCAACCCTGCATCTGTGCTAGCTGTGGGTAACACTTTTTAGTGCTGTACTGATTGCCGAGTTGGGTTTTGGTTTTAAGTTCCTCCTATTTGTATTCAAAGATTAACCAGCTGGTCTTGGTGGCAGTCAGAACAAAAGCAATTCTAATAAACAATCTGCAATTCCAATATTTTTTCCTGCTATTAACTGGTTAGTGTGTGTGATCATGTAATTTTGCTCTATTATAGAAGTTTTCCTTTCACTAGATTGATCATAGACTGATTTCTTTTCCAACCATTCAGCTATGGAATGGGCTATTTTTATCCTAGATATAGGCGTAGGGGGGGTATTTATTTATTTATTTAATCTTTACATAAGGATAGATGTACAGGTTCTTTTTATTTATTTACTTATTTTTTAATTCGGTATAGTATATACACTGCAAATACGTATGTGTTTAACTAAGAATCACATAATATGTCCCATAACGCAGTTTAGATTTTAGCTGCTTATACAAGGTTAGCCACCTATAAGAAAAAGATTAGGGAGTAATGTTGGTTATTATTTTTTATACTCCTCTGACTTTTAGGGAAAAACTCTACTGCCCTCATGTTTTGAGGTGAGTCTTTGGCATTTTGGCCTTTGTAACAGAACTGTGCCTTTCCGACTTTCAGTGTGAAAGATGTGTGTTAAGAACAATGAAATTGGCACATTGGTTGATAAACCTTCATCTGTACATCCTCAAAATTCTCTAAACCTCTCTATAGGGTGCTCTGCTCACATCTGTTCAGACACATGCTCAGATGTTGCTCCCCCTATAAAGAAATAGACCATGTCTCTTCAGAGTGCTCAGAGACTTTCTCTGCAATTACTTTTTCTCACTGCTGGTTCCTATTTGTAATACCAGCTACAAGAACTGGTAACAGAATGCATTTTTCTCTTATGCTTTTCATGCTCTGCTGACTCACCTCCTGGTATTCTGGTTTGAGGTTGTTGAGTTTTTTCTCCTGCCTGGCTCAAGTTAAAGGAGAGTGTGGAACTGAGGGGGTAACACAAGAGTCATGGGAGATGGCCAGACTTTGGCTAGTAATAGGAAAAGATGAAACAGTAAGAATAGGTACTGGGTTGAGCAGACAAAAAAAGGGAGGTGGCAGTGCCTGGAGATGCAGAACACAAGGAGCGTTAGAAATGAATAGAGAGGTGCTTTAGAGAAAATATGGTACCTGCTAAGTACCCCTATGCTAGCCTTTGAAGCAGAAATTATAGTGGTACTCAGTGTGGCCTGACTGCCAGCAGGTATCTGTGAGACCAGTTGTCAACCTTTGTTTCTTACAGTCTTCATCTTCCACCAAGCCCACACAGGTGATAAGAGACTTCAGCTGATCGAATAATTGATTAGTGTGAGGCTGTATCATGCCTAAACCTTCTGATTGCCTATATAGGAGAGCATGAAAAAGGCAGTATGTTTCCATGAAGAAGTCATCACATAAAAGAATCTATGTGTACCTATGCATACAATTGAATTATTCTGGAACATAAAATAGTGAATTAAGGGGATGTTGAGGTTGTAAATCAAACATGGGAGAAGAGGAGAGGCACAGATATTGAATGTTTAAGTTATGACTGAAATCCCCATTGGGAAAGCATGGCAAGAGTTTATATTTCAAAGTGAGTTAGTGCCTTTTGAGCATCTGCTCCCTTTGAGAGTGAACAGCACTTGGGCCATGCAGCTCACAGAACTGGTGAGCTATGCACGGAGCAAGCGATGTGCAAAGACCTACCTGTGGCCTTGTTATGAATGATATCTAGCTGTGGACACATAATACACTTAATAGTGTAACCCTCAGCTCTCCTAGGACAGTCCACTTCTTTAACTGTCTTATGAGACAACTGAAGCTGCAGCCAGGTATCTCCAAGTTTTTCAGCTACCAAAAGGCATTATCTTTATTTAAAGGAATTTCCCGATTACATTAAGACGGACTTTTTAGAGCTGGCTGTGGACTGTGAGGACAAGCATTGTAAGGCGTTCTAATAATGTATTCTAAAGTACTGAACATTAATTTTTATTGTACAGAGATCGTATTTCAACATATACAACTTTATGTGTAAATGGCTTTCTTGATTTTAAGCTAGCCTTTTTGCCAGTTATGTTTGTGCAACTCTTTTTAAGGAACACTTCAGTTAGAGAAATGAATAAAGGGAAAATTAGAGTTGAGTTAAACATTCGATATAAAGGCATAGTGGTTCTTATTTTTTGCTGCCATCATGTGGCCATTTTAAGTCAGGTTTCAGTCTAGATTGATTATGAATATCTATTCAATTGTTTGAATAGTCGAGTTTACTTTATTGCCACGAAAAGAGAAAGGCCACACTGTTTGTAGAGCCACTGACCTTGTAAACCAAGAATATCACAGCAGATGTGGCAAAGCCACAGTGGACTGTCCCACATCCCTACCACAAACTCCCCTGAGCTGTTAGTCTGGATTTCATAGTCCCAGAATAAGTAATTGTTCCTAGCTGGAACATTAAATGAAAACTAATTTCCATTCTAATCTTCATCAGTTTTCCATGTTTTCAAGCAATTGACTACAAATTATAGCACTGGTAGAACAAGAGATACTTCTGATGCTGCTAACGTGTTTTGAGACAGCCCCAAAATAATATTGGAAAATTACTCACCTTAATATGTGAACTCTCCATGGATTTCTGTTTCATTAACTGAGCCATGTCTTTGACAGACTGGCTGTGGTGGGTGCTGGGGTGGTGGGTGCTTTCTGTACAGCTCTGACTCATTGTAAACAAGATAAACCTCTAAGATTACCTTGCATATGCCAGTGGTTGAATTTAGTACCATGAACTGTAGAAGTAGAAGACTGCTTATTTGGTCATGTGAGGTGCTTAAGGTAAAACAGTACTCTTCTGCAAGCTCTTTTGGTTTCGGCTGTTACAAGCTCACATTACCTCCCAGGCCTGTGAGAGCCATCTCCTTCACCTTTCTGTACAAACTGAAAACAAACATCAGCACATCAACAAATGAAGAATAACATTAAAATTCAGTGTGCTAAAGTGAAAACTACCAGGTTAAACAAAATATATGTGAAATGTTTAGCAAAGTTTTGAAGATTTGTGTAAGTGGCAGTATTTTACTGTACTTAAGATGTATGGCTGATATGATCTTGTATGAATTACTACTGTGTTTTCCTTAACTATATCTACATTATTCAGCATGCTTATCATGTGCACTATTTTGACCAACTGTGTATTTATGACCATGAGTAACCCTCCAGACTGGACGAAGAATGTAGAGTAAGTTGCATTTCTTATTTAAAGCAATCTTTAATTGCCAGTAAAATTGTTCAGGAAGCCAGCATGCCAGTAGCAGTGGTTGTGTGCTGGCGGGAATGTTGTGAGACACTACTGCTATTTCCTGTCTAAATGATGTAAAAATGTTGAATAATTATTTAAATCTCCTTCTAGTAGAATGAATGGGTAGAAAAAATGAAAGTTGTTTACAGATAGTATTCTACTGAGATTCCACTAGTTTTCTCTTACATTTATGGTGTAGCATCTACCCAATTTTTCTATGCCTCCTTTATGCCACTACATTAATAGCATCTATTTGTACACCTCGGTTAAGGAAGGCATATAAGCAAAAGTATTACTAAAGTGAGAATTCAGTGCATGCTTGAATTCTTCCTTCTTTAGATTTAATACCAAATATTTTAGATGTCGGTGATTCAGACAGTATCCAGTCATGCTCAAAACTTTATTCATAACAGATCTAGTATTGTATGCTTTGAAACTGAGTGTCACAGATAAATTTATTTGATGGATTTATTTACTTTTAGTTATGTATAAGATCAGGAGAGCTGTACTTCAGCAGTATGTCACAACTAATGCATGTAAATACCCAAGAATATGTGATGAATATAATGCATTTTAGAAGAAATTGCTTGTTTACTGTATTTCTTTTCCAGTTTTTAAATAAAAAAACTTTTACATTTGATCATCAGTTTTCTATCAGAATGCCATTTTAAAACATTACTACTTACTTTGATTAAACTTTCATATATATTAATTTTCCAGGTATACGTTCACTGGAATTTACACATTTGAGTCACTCATAAAAATCATTGCAAGGGGCTTTTGCTTAGAAGATTTTACCTTTCTTCGAGACCCATGGAACTGGCTAGATTTCACTGTCATTACATTTGCGTAAGTTTTTGTTTTTTGCTTTTTTTTTGAAAGTGAAGGGCAAAAAGGGCATGAAATTAGTATCCATACATATCAATTTTGTTAAATGGAAATGTGGATTTACTTTGGTCTAAAACAATTTTCATCTTCTAATATGTATATTTTGATATAGACACTGCAGAAGCCAGTAGTGCAGCTAGTACTAGAGGGGCTAATTTCATGTCCTGCATTTTTTTTTCTCTGAGCAGAAAAGGAGCATCCCTTTACTTCATTCTCCAAACTTACCAATATAGCCTAGATAAATTTTAGGCTTTCAAAATTAAATCACTGTGATTCACTTCAGAGACACTTAATTTAACTGAAGGCTCTGAAAGCATGTTAATGCAAGGCACACTGCAGTGAAAGGTAAACCTCTGACTATTGCTATTTGATTTTTGCTAAAAACGCCAAAGTGGTCTTGATGAAAGACCCAAGTAAGTAGCATAAACTTTGCCTAAATTCTGAATAACTGTGATTTAATCCTACAGGTATGTAACAGAATTTGTAAACCTAGGCAATGTTTCAGCTCTTCGAACTTTCAGAGTATTGAGAGCTTTGAAAACTATTTCTGTAATTCCAGGTAAGAAGTAGTTGGTGTAAGGTGTTAGGCCCCTTGTACCTCCCAACTGTTCCTTTTTATCCTGTCATTGTGTTTGTGTGTGAACTCCCCTATTACAGATATGTGACAGAGTTTGTGGACCTGGGCAATGTCTCAGCGTTGAGAACATTCAGAGTTCTCCGAGCTTTGAAAACAATATCAGTCATCCCAGGTGAGAGCTAGGTTAAACACAGAGGCTGACTTTAATTCATTAAAATGAAATTCATATTTTTTAAACATGAGTCTTATTTCTTTCCACAAAAAAAAGCAGGAATCGGAAGATATTAGAATTCACTGAAATCTCTGATTCATTGCTTTTTAACATGAACTCTTGCCTTTTGAAATCAGCCTTTGAGTTTAACAGATTCTTGCATGAGACATTGCAGTACACAGTGTGTGTGGTTCGCATCCTATGATGTCAAGCTTTCTTCTCCACATTCAATGATTATCAGTAACCCTGAAGTTTTCTTACCCATGTGTATCTTACCTACATGATGTTATGTGGTATTTGTTGTGAATATTTTTGTCTAAAAAAAGAACTGTTGACTTAGTAAGAAGGTGAAGGATAAGATAATAAAGAATAGCATGGGCATTGCATGGGGGATTTATTATCTTAAAAGTATATGATTTTCCAAACCATCTCCAGTTTTATAGCATTAAATTTTAATTGTATTTATTGTTGAACAGGCTTTTTACTGTCTTCTAAATCTAGTATGTTATAAAACTGATAGTAGCAAAGGTTTGGGGCAAGAGGTATTGACGAATAAAAAGAAGACTTTTATGTGAGATTCATGTACAACATGAGTAAAAAAGTCACTTGTTTTAATAGTAAAACAAGTGTTTTGAAATATATGCAACTCATTCCATTCACAGTTTCGAATGAACATAAATTTCAGCTATATATTCATTTTCACAAGTGAAAAAACTCTTCACAGAAATGTTATTTCACAGACATTACAATCATTTTTTTGGGCTTCTGCATGATATATATAACTTTACTGGGAGACACTGTCATTTTTATGCTTTCAAACCAGTTTTGAACATCGGAATAAAAATTCCTTTGCATTTGCAGGCTTGAAGACTATTGTGGGAGCCCTAATTCAGTCTGTGAAGAAGCTCTCCGATGTTATGATCCTGACTGTATTTTGTCTGAGTGTATTTGCACTAATAGGGCTG